CAAATAGAGTAAAATTTTAAGAATTTTCTAGGGAGGTTGGGGGGAGGGGGAAGGGAAAGAGGCTACGTTAAACCCCCCCCCCCCCCCCCCGGATGACGAATGCTAGAGCTTGCCCTGTCTCTGAACCCACCGCACGCCACTGTGCCTCAGTGACTAACCAATTGGCAAGGTCGCTGTAAAATTATTCTATAAAAGTCTTAGGGTATGTACGCCATATATGAATCGACGTAGCGTATTTTTTTACCCTTTATCGCAACTTTCCCCAAAGTAAAGCTGGATAAAGGTCCTCAAAATTCGATTGAGGATTTCTAGCCTTATGAAGCTAATAAGTTTGGCAACCTGCAGAATCTATGACAATGCGTGTGACAATACATCCTTGCAAGTTCCCAAAATGTATTTGCTTCATTTCGCTTATTTTAACCCGAATTTTATTCTCTTTAGAGATGATTTGGTCTCTCAAAAAAATGAAATACTATCCCATGTCTTTTTCTTAACTTTTTCTGGATTTTCTTCATTTCATGAAGTATATTCTGGAAAAATTTATAGTATAATAGGATCAACTCTTTCTCATTCCTAGAGATAATAAAAGAGCCAAAATTTTGAAACACCGCAGTTGAGATACGATATTTTCTAGTTTTATCATCTGTGATGACCACCATTTACAATGGAGAAATAAGTCTCATTGGGATGGTCATCCTTCCTTCAGAGATAAACCCGATTCCATATAAGGCGTAATTTTATAACTTTACGACTTATACTCTTACATGGAATCAAGTATTATCACTGGAGGAGCGGTTGTAAGTTATAATTGACGAAATACCCTGAAATTCACCCTTAAAGTGAAAATCCAAGTATTTGGACAATTATACCTGCTGAAATGCAGCGGGAGAGCAGAATCAGAAAACCGATTAAAAATAAAAATTTAAAAATTCAAACATTCATGCTTTTTACGGTTTTTACGATCGGGATTATTTCAAGTTAAAAAAATACAAGAAGATTGGCGTTTTACAAATTTATTAATTAGAAAATTTTAAGAAAATTTTGAAAAAGGTGAAATTAACGAATTTTGAAAAAAATATTGAAATCGTCTAAAATGACAAGATATCAGAAAGAAAAAAGAAAGGTCTTTCGACGATTCACCAAAGATGTCCGGGGTTTCCAATGTTCCAATAATCGTAAGTCCAGCAAAGTCCAGAGTCCAGAAAACAAGAGAGAGATTTGTGGTCGAGCCGAGGCTCTCGACCAGAGTCCTCGCTCTCGCTGAGCTGAGGCTCCTTGCAAGCCCACAGATCAAATCGATAAGTTTATCAAAAAAGTTAATGAGCGCAATTTAGATAGAGAGTTAAGCTCCTTATCTAAATATCTCACATCGCACTCGATTTTTCCAGAAAAGACGATTTTTCTTGGAGAACGAGGTTTTTTTTGGTACTTTTGCGACTATTTTCCCAGGAAATTGGGTTTTCCCTAAAAATGGTGGGTGTTAACAAATTTCTGAGATTATATTCGGGTTTATCAGCTTAAATTACACGAGAATCGATGTATCACACATCGAGAAAATGTTATGAATTTCCTTGGAAGTGGAAACAGCTCGGAAAAGCTGTTGGCCCGGAAAAATCGGACCATTTAGAAAACGGGGGCTTGTCAAAAATGAGTGAAGGTAAAATTCGAGGTTAGTGTCTCTTAATACAGTAGGAGACACCAATAGAGTATCTCGGTAAATTCCTGAAAATCCTTAGAACAGGAAAATCATCAAAAAATACCGATAGATAGCGTTTTCGTAGGGAAAGCGACTTTTCCGGGAAAAGGATGGGTGATAGGAAAATTCTAAGATCATATTTGAATTCAACAGTTCAAAATATAAATGAATCGATGTATCTATCACACATCGGAGACATTTTTAAAATGTATTTTTAATACACTTTAAGTTTAGGAAAGGTTTTTCACAATTTTAGGCTCGGAAAAATAGGCTTCACTGGAAATCTGGAGGGTGATAGAAAGAAACCTAGGTCGTATTCAGATTCAGCAGTTTAAAACATAATAGTAACACACTACCACGGGTCCAGGCAAATTTATATAAAAATAAATTGCATTCACGACAAGTATACGTCAAAGGGGTACGTACAAAACGGGGGAGAAGTTTTGAAAGACGCGGTTTAAACGAGCGTTTCCAGCGTGACGAGAGCTTCCAGAACATTTGTAGTATCATAATGTTTAGTCGACTTCAGATCGATTTATCGCCTCCAAAGCGGCGGAACGCTGAAAGAAGACCCCATTTTTTTCACGTCTGCGCCGATTTTAAAAAAAAAAAAAACCCAATTTTTTATTTTAATGAAAAACTGATATATTATTTCTGACTCTCTGTAGCCCCTTAAGCTTTTTACCGTATGCTGGGGAAATGTTTTGGTCGCGAGTTGTAAGAGCGGAAAGGAGCGAAGGTCGGGAAAATCGGCCATTTTAAACTGTGCGTGCGGAGGTGATCGGAAGGAAAACGTCCTCTCCCACTCAGTTCTGCAAATCACACTCTTCGGCCAAACTCGTATTGTTGCCATGTGTCGACGTGTCGTCTGGTCCGTCGCCGCGCGCAGTTTAAAATAGCCGATTTTCCCGACCTTCGCTCCTTTCCGCTCTTCTAACTCGCGACCAAAACATTTCCTCAGGATATACGCTAAGAAGCTAGAGGGGTTACAGAGAGTCAGGAACAACATATCAGTTTTATAAAAAAAATGGCTTTTTTGAAATCGGCGCGGGCGTGAAAAAAAATGGGGTCTTCTTTTAGCGTTCCGCCGCTTTGGGGATGATAACTCGAGCTGAAGTCGACTAAACCCTATGATGTTTTAAATTTTCTGAAAGATCTCGTCACGCTGGAAACGCTCGTTTAAACCGCGTTCTTCAAAACTTCTCGGTTTTCGAGCAACAAATTCGCGAAAATGTTGCTGATTTTTAACTTTGACCCCCCGCCGCGTCTCCCCAAAATTTTTAGGGGGCTTGAAACTTTGGGAAAAGATGGGGCATTGTTTGATGAATGAATAGGGCAAGTCGCAAAGGTATCTGCCTAGAGCCCCAAATGGCCCGTTTTTCACGTACCCCTTTACTCATTTCCCCGGGAAATAATCGCTTTACCGGAAACCTGAGAGGTGAACGGGAAAAATGGATTGCATTTTGCAAAAAGGAGCCACTAGCAATGCAATTATGCTTAGATTGTGCAACTTCATATTTTGCAATAAAATTGCGGAAATCGTGAAAAACTATGAAATTTAGATGGTAATTGTTGTCTTAAATTTACAGTTTTTAGCGAGTAAAATAGAAACTATTAATAGATAATCGGGTTTTTCCTCCAAGACAAAAGAAGTTGCACAATCTTAGCAACATTGCAATGCTAGTGGTTCCTTTTTGCAAAATGCAATCCAAATAAAAGTCATTTTCGGACTCAGTGGCTCTTGATAGATCGGAAAAATTGTATCTCGTAGCTGAGAAAGATTTTGCCTACANGGGGGGGGGGGGGGGGGGGTAACAGTTGGAAAAGTACTTAAATTATTCGAGTAAAATCGGCTTTTTCGGAAAATTGGAGGGTGATGGAAAAAATGAAGGTCATATTCAGATTCAGCGTCTCAAAATGCATAAAGATCACCTTATGTCGTCCAGGGGACATTTTTTCATTTTGGTTTGTTGTACAGTGTTATGAGGCATGTAACAAAATACGAACATCAGCGATTTTCGCATGATTTGGACCGCGATCAATATGACAACCTCAAATATGTCCTCTTTTTCACAAAACCACCCACTCCTGGGAACTCTCCTGTTCCCAGCACTTAAATTTCCAGGGAAACTGTGGTCCTATTCCGAACATCCTTGAATGATTAGAAAGTTTCTAGTCATGAAGCTCCGAAAAATTAGAGAAGAGTCAGGGAATTCTAAAACTTAAGGAAGCTTATATCCTGTATATGCAGAACAATACATTTGAGGGGCTGAGCATCAAGGCGCATAAGTGCAGTTTTTGAAAAAATTGAGATGTTCATGAACTCAACTAAAACTAGTTTGAAAGAATGTTCTGTGAAAAATTCACAAGTAAAATCCAGCTTTCAAGCATATAAAAGTGAGTTTATCTTTCTCTCCACCATGAGGCTCCATGCAATTTTTGAAACTTCAAAAATGTATTTCTTGAAATAGCAACGTAACTGCAATTAAGCACCGTGCCCTCCAAGCCCCTCATTTGGTCTGTCTAACTCAACCTTTGTCCGTTAATTTTGGCTTTTATAAGCAGGTGGCTTGAATCTACCGATTTCAGTGTGAACAATTATTTCTAATTGATCTTTCAAGAGATGATTACTGAAATGTCTTTTGTATCCAATGCCTTTTACATAAAACTTTAATGAAAAGCTATTTTTTGTGATACCCTTGTGGGCTACATCTGAAATACATCTTGCAGTAATGCAGTACCATTTCTAGCTCATTTAAAGTACAACATCTATGCTATTAGATCGCTGATGATAATAAGTGTCATCGTCTTTGAGCCCGATACAGCTGTCTTCATCGCAAAATTTAGTTCATTTTTCACCCTGTTAGGTGATTAATTCAATCATGGAAACCTTTTGCGTTTAAATGCCTCTACTGAAGGGAACTTGATTTATCGTTTTCTCGTGAGATCTTACAAAACAAGGCCAGGCGACTCATACCATTACACACCACATTTATGTGAACAAACTATTTTTAAAAAATTATTATGATTGATCAATCAATGACTTTTAAGGATTTTGCTACAAAGGAGACACTTATCACATCAAGTCAAGAACTGTAAAAAATTTTTGTCGCTTTTGAACGTCCAAAATATAGCATTAGTACCATGTTCTGAGGCAGATTTTAGAAGTTAAAATATGAATAACTCGAAATCAACTTTTTGGCACTTAGCCTGTCATTGATGATAATACTTCAGTTTATGTTCTATTATCAGATTGGAGTTTAAGTACTACTTTGTTTCAATACTGAACTTTATCTGGTCACAGGTGGATCTGAAAGAGGTTGTCATACCTGGAGTCTATCCAGACAAACTCAATGGTGATGTAAGTACAACTGAAAATCGTTAGTTTAATGTCAAAGTGTGGAAGATGTCAAAGCTTATTTTGACTAAACAAAAGCAGCTCTAACAGTGTTTGTCAAAATCCAATCAGTGTAAACATGACACTGCCAAGTCCTCAGTCCTCTAAACAAGAGTTCCTGAAGAGTCAATAAAATTCTAAGATGACGCCATTGTTAATATCGACATAATTTTTCTCATTCATGTGAAAATCCCTCAAAATTTGAACTGGAATATCAAGAAAAGCACCACTAGATACTAAAAACCACAATTTCGAAATCGGTTAATGGAGCTCCTAGAAAAATAATCGCGATTTTATGGTTTTTTTAAGGCTTTTTTTTCGGAAAATAGGCTCATGTAGGGCAACTAAATTCCCCCTCTGCCCCATTTCTTCTTGGATTGATCTGAATTTTTAGCATGTTATTCTCTGGTATGAAGTACGCCTTTCCTGAAATTTTCGTGATCCGAAAAATTTTTTTTGCTCCCGTTACAACGTTGCAAAGTTTCAAACTTCAAAATTATGGATTTTCCGAATGAAAGTGTGACACTGGCCCCTTGCTTCTTGGATTGGTCTGAATTTTTGGTGTGTTCTCCTCCGATATGAGGTAAAAAATTACTGAAATTTTTATGGCCGGAAAATATTTTTTCCTCTCGTTACAACGTTGCCAAGTTTTCAGCTTGAAAATTTTGGGATTGGATGTAAAACGATGGCATGGGCCCATGTCTTAATGAATTGATCTGAATTTTTAGTATGTTATTCTTCCGTATAAGTAGCAAATTCTCTGAAATTTTCATGACTTGATAATTTCTTTACCCTCGTTTCGACGTTGCCAAGTTTCGAACTTCAAAATTATGGATTTGACCATAAAATGATAGCGTTTGAGTGGGATACCTTGCAGAATTGTTCTTATTTATGAGTAATTTTACGAAACGTTTCAATAATTTGCCCCTTCAAAACTGGAAGATTGCCGTGTTGCCGTTTTACTACTTTTATTCCGCATGAATATACCAATGCTGCATCTTGCTGGAACTGCAAATGCTGGTTTTTTTCATTCACTTTGGCAGCGTCCATTCTGCACTAACTGATAGCGTATCGTATCACATGTGTATGGGCAGAGGGGGAATTTAGTTGCCCTACATGAGCCTATTTTCCGAAAAAAAAGCCTTAAAAAAACCATAAAATCGCGATTATTTTTCCAGGAGCTCCATTAACCGATTTCGAAATTGTGGTTTTTAGTATCTAGTGGTGCTTTTCTTGTTATTCCAGTTCAAATTTTTAAGTCAGGACCAACTTCGAGCTAATCCCCTTCCAGGAGCTCCGTGTAGGTCTATCGACCTAGATTTTTGACAACCAATGAACTGGTTGTCCATCCCAGAACAATTGACGTCATGTTTACCCTTGTACGGCAACAGCGACATGGAAATTACAGCCGTAACCGCTCTCAACTTATTTTAACGCGCTGTCATGTCGGTGTGCGCAGCGATGCGCGGACCGCGAGCCGAACAAATGCTTTTCCGTCTCACGAGCGCACTACAAAACGTTTTTCTGTCTCACGAGCGCACTACAAAACACGTCTGAACAGTCTGAAAGATCAACACCAACTTGAGTGAGACAGATAGGACATTCGTCCTCCTTAAAGTTTTTTTTTTTTTTTTTTTTTTTTTTTTTTTTTTTTTTTTTTATTCTTAAAATTAATAAATTAGCTGCCCTGTCTCACTTTGCTCCATTGGCCCGCAACTTTGACATTGACCATGATTCATTCTGCAGAGTGGATGTGTGGAAGGGTCTAGTCACAGTGGGTTTTAACTAAATCTAAATAAGAAAATGAAAGTCCCCATATCTGAAAGCGGAAAAGTACAGGGAATCACCTCAGGAATACATCCCCGCTGAAAAGAAAATCATTCGCTGGGCCGTTTCTTTTTTTGCCCCCCCCCCCAAGCCAAAATGGCGGCCGATATGCGCCGCCGCGGGGTGTAAATGTTACAACTCCCTCACAATGTCAAGTGACACATCGACTCTTATGTAAAGTTGGTCGTAGAATCCGAATATGAGGTCAGAAATCCCTCACGACTAAAAGGAATTGCGCAAGTTCAAGATGGCGGCCAAAAATAGGCCCCGGAGTAAAAATTCTCAATTTCAGCTTTTGGTGACGAGTGAGATGTCTTTTTTTTTGTTTTTTGGGTCATAGGATCCAAATTTAAGGTCAAAAATTCCCTTCTGGTCGACAGGGATCCCTCAAATCCAAAATGGAAGCCATTTTGGGGCTGACATATTATTGCCGAAAGACGCGTATAGTCGAGTGAGGCGTCTTTTTACATGTTTTTTGGACCACATGATCAGAAATTGGGATCCAAACTGTGTCCCTGTGGGCCGGAAGGTAAGATTTGTCCCTTAGCACCTTGATTGTAACGTTTTTATCAACTATTTAAATAAAAACTCAGAATTTCACTGTTAGAACGGCGCCAACCACACCAAGAATGCCCTATTTTTACGAATAATGTTTGACCTTTTTGCCTAGCAGGGGCTATAGTCCCCTGCTTCACAAAAAAACTAGCGCAAGAGAAATAGGAACAAAACAAAAATAATCTTCTTTTCAAGAAAATATATATGAATTCAAGAAAAATGACAGCCGGAGTACAAATTAATTGTATACATAGCTAGTAAATAAAACTAGATTCTTCTGCTGTTGAATTCACACACCGAAGTACCGAAGAGTACCGAGTTTCATAAAGTACAGAAATCTCATCCAGATTACGAAAGAAATTTCCTTAAAGCTGTATGTGAATTTAACAGCAGAAGAATCTAGTTTTATTTACTAGCTGTGTATACAATTAATTTGTACTCCGGCTGGCATTTTTCTTGAATTCATTTATATTTTCTCGAAAAGAAGATTATTTTTGTTTTGTTCCTATTTCTCTTGCGCTAGTTTTTTTGTGAAGCAGGGGACTATAGCCCCTGCTAGGCAAAAAGGTCAAACATTATTCGTAAGAATGGGGCATTCTTGGTGTGGTTGGCGCCGTTCTAACAGTGAAATTCTGAGTTTTTATTTAAATAGTTGATAAAAACGTTACAATCAAGGTGCTAAGGGACAAATCTTACCTTCCGGCCCACAGGGACACAGTTTGGATCCCAGTTTCTGATCATGTGGTCCAAAAAACATGTAAAAAGACACCTCACTCGACTATACGCGTCTTTCGGCAATAATATGTCAGCCCCAAAATGGAAGCCATTATGGATTTGAGGGATCCCTGTCGGCCAGAAGGCAATTTTTGACCTCAAATTTGGATCCTATGACCCAAAAAACATAAAAAAAAAACATCTCACTCGTCACCAGAAGCTGGAATGTACCACTAGACAAGGTACGAATTTAAGCCATCTAATACATTTTCTTAACCAGAATTTCACGAAAAACACGATTCACACAACGAATATTACTGAAACCAACTCTTAACAAAGATAGTACCGTTTTTATTACACATTGGTTACGAGGAATTTGAACTACCCGCTCGCAAGAAACTCGAAGCTCTACGTGAGTCGAATCGCGCACTACAACGGTTTCAGAAAGCTTCTCAGTCCAGCGATGTTCATTTCCCACCATGTATTGTTCAAACTATAAGCAATTTGCTGTAGCTGAACCAAAGCGTTAAAATTGAGGTTGCCAGATTTTTAAATCGCAGATACTGTCATGATAACGTTTAGCGCGCGATGTGAATCACATGGAGCATTGAGTTTTCATGAGCGGATGGTTTGAATTCATGCATCAAGAATCATTGAATATCTTCGTAAGGAGTTGATTTCGGTAATTTTCGTTGTAGGCATCGTGTTCTACGTGAAATTTTGGTTAAGAAACATGTATCAGAATGCTGAAATTCGTACCTTGTCGAGTGGTTCATTGAGAATTTTTACTCCGGGGCCTATTTTTGGCCGCCATCTTGAATTTGCGCAATCCCATTTAGTCGTGAGGGATTTCTGACCTCATATTCGGATTCTACGACCAAAATTACATAGGAATCGATGTGTCACTTGACATTGTGAGGGAGATGTAACATTTGCACCCCGCGGCGGCGCATATCGGCCGCCATTTTGGCTTAGGGGGGCACTAAAAAAAACGGCCCAGCGAATGATTTTCTTTTCAGCGGGGATGTATTCCTGATGTGTTTCGCTGTACTTTTCCGCTTTCAGATATGGGGACTTTCATTTTCTTAATTAGATTTAGTTAAAACCCACTGTGTTTGGGAAGTGATACACTTGACGGTGAAAATTCAGGTTTAAGCCCAACTATTAAGCTCAACGAGCTGTATTTCCTAATTCTACACCTAATGATAGTTAAAATAAAGTTTGGTTTGTCCAAAAATTCACAAAAAAAAAATTTTGAGAGGAAATACGACCTGGAATTGGACCCTTATTTGAATCACTAAATACAAAAAAGGCACGTGTCCAGAAAACCAAATTGTTCAGGAGATACAAAAAACTGTTTATTTCGTGGTAGATATTTTTTGGAAAGTCGTTATGTTTAAAAAAACCGGCGCGGGGCGAAGCAGAGCGATGTTTAAAAAAATATCTACCACGAAATAAACAGTTTTTTGTGTCTCCCGAACAATTTGGTTTTCTGGACATGTGCCCTTTTCGTATTTAGTGATTCATTT